ACTGGGTTGGTTTTTCTTTGAAGATGTTTTGCTTTCATCCAAGAAGCTTCTTCAACTCTTGGGTGAGATGCCAAATATCTTCAAAGAAAAAACAGAAAGTCCAGTTGCCTCTTGAAAAAGGACCTTTGGGACAACCATGACCTGGATGACTGAGAATCTCCATAGACATATTCTTCAACAGCTTATTTGAAGATGTAAGGCCATGAGAAGGAAATGGAAATGACAAGAAGTACCTTTGGTTGCTGGAAAAGTTGGAAAAAGTAAGTAAGCCCAGAGTAACCTTGTGGTAAGATGGGCAGTCAATACATGTTAGAAACAAACAAACAAGTAAATAAACAATGGGAATGGAAGACTTAGGATGGTGATCTAATGAAGAAAAGGATCAACAAGGGATGGATGCTGCATTAAACATAAAAGTCAGGGACCATCACAAAAGAAATCTGCTGTGGTTACATGGGATTGCTTGAGGATCATATCACTCAAGAGCAGAAGAAAGAGTGAGAGAGAGAATGGCTCAAGAAGGCAGAGAAGACCAAGGACGTCATGAATGGACGAAGAGGATAGATCCTTCAAGAGAAGGGAGAGCAGCTCAGATAACAAAAGGCGATGTACATGGAGATTTGTGGAAATCAGGATGGTTTGTGAAAAGAGGAAGGCAGAAAGAAGTATGATAAAGGGATCTGGACCTTAGGATGCTTAGAAGTGGCCCTGGACAGTGAAGGACTGCCCCCTGGTTGTTGTGGTTCGCCGGAAGCAGGTGCAGATGGCTGAGGTCTCGGAGAGCGAGGACTTGGATGAGGGGCCTGCGTGTGATGCAGGGATGGGGCCAGGACCATCAGGGAGTGGAGTGCTGCCTTCGGAGATTGTGGAGGCTGGCAGCAGTGAGGAAGAGGCCCCCGAGGAGCCTGTGCCCAATGTGCACAGAGCTGCTCAAAGGAAAGAGCAGCTGCAGTAGCATGGGCGACTTGGGAGTAAGGCTGCAAGGTAATGGCCCCTCCCTGAGGAGATAAAAGCCAGCTGAGAAACCGGAGTTCTTTGCAGGAAGCAAAGAAGTTTTTGCACTCAAGCCTTGTGGACGTTCGGAATATCTTGGTTGGTGTTTGGAGACTCTTTGTGTTTGAAATATTTCTTAGTAACTTTATCTAGTGTTCTTGGCAGCCTTGCACAACCTTGGCAAGGCTCGTTCTTATCAGAGACAATTAGTTTGAAACAGCTTTTTAACCGGGAAAGGAACAGAATTTGTAAAGAATCATTAAAAGGTTTTGCTGTTACCTCCATTTTGTGTTCGTTTCCTTGGAACAAGGTTTGGGTCAGAACACCAGTGCCTCTGCTAGGAAAAATGGAGTTCCATTTTTGCTGGCAGAGCAGGTGCTCAGTCCATCACAGGTGCTTCCGATATGAGGGACGTTGAGTTGGCCACGCCCCCCAGCACCCCTCCCCCGAGGTCAAACACAACCTTGATGCGGCCCTCAATGAAATCGAGTTTGACACCCCTGTTCTGCTTTTCATTCAGTATTTCTCTTTTTTCCACTTTGTGTAACATTGCTTATCCCTCTAACCTCTCCACTACAATTTTTTTTTATTTATTTAGTCAGATGTTTCCTGTTTCTCAATTAAATAAACCTCAAGTAGGATGTACAGTAATAAAACCCAAATAGAATTACATAATTGATGAATTTTAAAAAGAATCGAGATCAAGCAATATTAACTATGAACACACAAAGTCTCCAGAATTGCAACATCACATCTGACGTATCTCATTCAGTACAGACAGTCCTCAACCACAGTTAAGGTCAACATTTGTTTGCCGCATTTTATGACCTTTCTTGCCACAGTTGTTAAATGAACCACTGCAGTTGTTAAGTTAGTTACACGGTTGTTAAGTGAACCTAGTTTCCCAATGAGTTTGCTTGTCAGAAGATCACAGAAGCTAATCACAGGCACTGCAACCATCATCAATAAAGTCAGTTGTCAAGCATCTGAATTTTGATCACATGACCATGTGGATGCTACAACAGTTGTGTGAAAAATGGCCGTAAGTCACTTTTTTCATGTTGAATGATCACTAAATGAACTGTTGTAAGTTAAGGACTACCTATATATCTCCTACCTGAAAGCTTTAAATGTAGATGCTGAAGACTGAGAGGTTGCGGGGGAAAAAAGCTAAATTACTTCTAGGCAATATTCTTTCTTTCCAAAGAAAGGGATTGGAAATGTTCATGGTAATACAGATAATGAAAAGGATATAAAAAGGTGATAGTAATCCAGTATAACTGAACTCCATCATATACGTTTTAATAATATATATTGTATTGAAATGTTACAGTATCAGATGGCTTAGGAATATAACAGGTGTGCGGGTGAGATTTTCTGAATTTATTTGTATAAATTCACAAGGGGGATAAAACTGTAAAAAAAAATTCTTATCTTCAGAAAATACACATTGTGGTAAGCAGCAGTTTTCATTAATCATCATAGTGTGTTCATCATCTCCTCCGTGGATCAGCGATGAGAGTTTTAGAGAAGACCACCAACCAGCTTAAAATCTGGTTTCACAAATACTTTACGCAGTGATCAAATCGTTGAAGGCCATTTTAATTGAGTTATTGTTATCCAATTTGTAGACAAATTGGATTGTAATCCCTTTCGCCTCCTACTCCTCTTTATTCGTTTGCTGGCTGGTACTTCATCTAATACCTCTTCACTTTCTTCTTTCTAGCACGCGGTAAGAATTGCATGCCTGTTGGGTTTCCTGGGATAAAGCAGGAATTTACTACTGAAAGAAAAATTGAATGTTATAACAACCACTCTTCAGAATAAAGAATCCTGGTAATCCTCAATTTATGACTACGATTGAGCCCAAAACCTCTGTTGTTAAGTGAGACTTTTGTTAAGTGAATTTTGTCCCATTTTACAATCTTTCTTGCCAGGGTGATTTCTTGCTTTATATACTGGATTTAGGTGTATACAAAGAATGGGTGTATACAGTGCCCCCAGGCATACCTGCTTTGATATGGTAATTATTTTCAAAAGCCATGAAAGTGCATTTTTACTTGCCAAGCATTGTTAAGTGTTACATAACCATAGGTTCTAACATAGCATTAATTTGGCTAACACTAAAAAGGCCATCTGAAAATAGAATTATTCTTTAAAGTAGTCATGTTCTTTGAGAGACTGCCAATGTCTCATGTTGAGGAATTATGGATGGATGGGAATGTATCTGCTTTTGAGAAGTCTGATCATATTACTATTAAGTTTATTTCCCTCCTATCTTGCCATTAGGTTACTCATAACCATAACTGGCGGCTTATAACCATAAGCAAAAATAAAGAAATTAAGAAGAAAGTTAAACAAAACAAGGAAAAAACAAAGAAAATACATTGATATGAGATTATATACACCCAAACATACACCCAAACACACACACACATGCTAGTAGGCTGAGACATTTTGCTGGCTCAGGTGAGATTGCAACTATCACTGGCCATACTATAACACGTGGCATGAAAGTATATGTCTCCCAACAATATGCTACATTTTTGTGAATTTCCTCCTTCCTTCGACAAGGAGGTATTAGCCTTTTGCATAAATAAATGTACATGGAGGGCCTGAGCTGTCTGGATTCAGGATTTGCCTTGTTATTGCTATTTTCTAAAGAGAATACTTTGCGCTTACAGTTCAAGTATCCAAAGTGAGCAACAAAACAGCCAAACAAACACCAAAGACCAAACAAAGGCTTGCAGGAAATTCATTGGAAAAGTGGTTGGCGCAGCTGCCCTAAAGCAGTTGCCTCTAAGAAATTTGATCTAAAATAAATTAATGCCCATTGAACCATGTTATCTTCATTTGATTAAAATCAGCTTCTTTCTATGCTAGAGGGAAATTTGATGAAGAAGTGAAATGGCCAATAGCAAAGAATTAGGTCAATGAAAGGTAGCTGAGAGTGAACAGCTAGCACACCAGTTCCAACCCAATGGTAAATATTTTGATAATGGCAATAATTCCCTCCTTTACTTGAAATGTATTTCTTGCACGCAGACAGAGTTTAAGGGAAGTGCCCGGAGTGAGTCTTGACAATAGCAAAATAATATTGGAGAAAGCTTTAATTGAGCATACGTGGGTTGGACAGAAATCTGCATACCAATATACAGTATTTACAGCTCAGGATTGAATTGACGGTCCTTAGAGAGCATCAAGTTTAATTGTTTCCTTGCAGACATTTTTTTTTAAAATATAAATTTGTATTAAGTAAACATTAAAAACAATTGAACACAGTTCACAGCAGACAGACATTTCATGATCCAAACTAGGCAAGCTGATTAGTGCTGGAAGGGAGTGAGGTCTGTGGAGTCCTTGGCGTTAAGCCTGATTGCTTTCTTGCAGACGTCTCATGACCCAACTAGGTTACATCATCAGTGACTTGTTAATGAAACATCTGCAAACCAACCCAAACCAACCAGCCCAAGCTTAGAGAGCACCTAAGTGCTCCACAGAAAGAAAGCTGATTCCGCTTTTAAAGCTCTCAGTCAAAGAAATTGCTACCCAACAATATGTGCTGACAACATTGGTGCCCCGTGTATTGATGCTACTTCCTACTCGGGTCATGAAACGTCTGCAAAAAAAAATCCCTCCCCGCTCAGAGAACATCAAGGACCCCGCAGACATCTGCCTTTATGCCTCCCTATTTAATTTTCCCAGGGTGGCGGCTTAAGCATTGGGCGCCACTGCCTTTGGACGAGTCTGCATGGAGAAACATTAAACTTCTCGATTTGAATCCGAGCGGGAAAAGCCGTTGCGGGGAGGGGGCGGGGCCAATGGAACGTTCGCTGGGCGGGCGGACGGGGGGGCGGCCAAGCGCCAGTGCGCGTGCGCGTGCGCCGCGGGTGACGCGGCATCAGCTGTCAGCGGGGCGGGGCCAAAGCCGGCAGCCAGTTCCGGGGACGGACGAAGGCGGCTCAGCCGAGGGACGGACGGACGGGCGGGCGGGGCTCTTCCGAAGACGGTTGCCGGCTCGCTTCGCCTGCTCCGCTCCTGCGGTGAGTTGGGGCGGGGGGTGGGGGGGGTAGCTGGCTAAGTTTCCCGGGAAGGAGCCCTGGCTGGATGGGGATGGCAAGGGCCCCCTTGGCGGGCGGGAGCCAGGAATGCCGCCTTTCGCCTTCCCTTTATCTCTCCCTTCCTCTCTCTCCCCCTCTATTTACCTCTCTATCCCTCTCTTTATCCCCCCCTCTCTCCCCCTCTCTTCCTTCCCCCCCCGATACCTTTTCCGCTGCCCCCCCCCCTCCATTTCTCCTTCTAACTCCCTCTTTCTCCCCCCCTCTATCCCCCCCCATTTCTCCCTCTCTCTCGTCTCTCTTTCTCTCCCTTGCTCAGACCCGGTTCATAGTCTGAAATATTCAAAAATACCTTCTGAATACTAGGTCATCTATCTGTCTATATCCTCCTTTTCTCTCTTTTCCTATGCCTCCCTTCTCATCTATCTATACCTACCCATCTCTCTCTCTCCCTCCCTCCCTCCCTTCCTTTTTCTCCATCTCTCTATCCCTGTATTTATATCTCATTTTTGAACTGCCCATCTCCATGAGACAAATGCACGAAAGGAGCCATTCCTTTAGGAGAGAAAGAAAGAGGCCCCCCTGGTCTTCCTGGGGCTTTGCTCTCCGGCTCCAGTGACTCACAGAAATGGCCGGGGTGCCTCTCTCCCCCCCACCCCACCCCCATACCTCTGCAGAAGGGGAGCCTGCTGGGATAGGCAGGCTTGGCTCTGGGGGGGGGGGTGTCTGCTGAGAGGGTCTCCTTCGCCAGGGCACAGGGAGGGTCTCCTTTGCACAGCTGGGGAGGGGGAAGCACCCGCCCAGCAGAAAAGGCTTCTCCCTCCAAGGATGAATTAAAGGCAACCTTTCCATTGAAGATTCAATTCAATTCTGGCCAGTCACTTCCGCTCTTCCCTGCCTTCTTCCCCAGGTCACAGGGAAGAAATACAAGCGAGGGGAAGAGGGGTGTGCATAGCTCCGGAACACCTTGGCAAAAGTGTGGGGTGGAAACCAGAAGGGAATCCTTTGCTGAAATTAGAATAGCTGAGTAGCCAAGGAAGGGCTTGTCTTCCTGAATAGGTGGTGATGGCTAAATACAATGCGACCTTTCGTGTCTACGGCAGTATTAAGAGTTATTACAAAAGCTGTCCTATTGTTTTTGGAAAAAACATGCATGCAGCACCCCACTGTTTCAACCCACTCTGTTGTTTGGAAATTTAGTTGAAAAACCCCATGAGGGTTTTGTTTTTTTTTGGCCTTTGTCGGGTTTTTTTTTTCCTTTGCAAACTTTTTGCTTCTCATTCAAGAAGCTTCTTCAGTTCTGAAGAAAAAAAAAAACAACTTCAAAAAAGTCCATGTATCTTTTGGAAAAACCAGCTTTGGCTCAACCATGATCTGGATGACTAAGAAGCTCCTTAGTAGACAATAGTTGAGAAACATCATTTTACTCCAACCGCCTTTGATATCTCTGCTTCTTGCCTTTAAAAGCCTTTAGAGACACTGGGATTTCCAGAATCCAAAGGGGCTTTCTAAATCATGGGGGAGACACTCCTTGGTTTCTTCCCAGTTTCTCAGAAGATGTCTCTGTGCTGTCTGGAATTAACTCTTCCATGAGTTCCCTAACGTAGGATCCAAGCTGTAGTCCTAGAGTAAAATCCACACCTAGCCCACAGATTAGTAGATACCTATTCCGTGACAAGGTATAATAGTTAACAAAATGTGGCTTCCTGAGTGGGAATCTTTCCATGCCACAGGTTTCTCTAAATCAATAACCAAGTGAGAAGATTTCCAGGGTAGCATAGCACAGCTCCTATTGCAGGGCCAAATAATCCCTCTACTAGATAGAGAAGATCTTTAAGAGGATTAAACATTGTTGTTTTTTTATTCTTCTTATTACAGTACTTGGAAGTTGCCTTTAGAAGAGCTGCTCTAATACAATGTAGGTTAGAATAATAACAAGAGTCATCATTATCTCAGTTTTAAGAATGCCTATCTCAAAATAGACATCTCTTATGCTCCACTCAATAATACCTTTTATTTAATTAAAAGTTGTATCATTTTAAGGATATGGCAATTTCTTCTAATGTATACAAACTTCTGATCAAGTGGCAAGAAAGAATCATAGATTTATCATTGGCTGGTTGTAAAGTGATCAACGTCAATAGTAATTCTGATGATCATGGTGATATGATATGAATTGTCAGAGTGTACATTAATAAACATACTGTAGTCTACATTTCCTAGTAGCTTTTCTTGTTTTTCTAGAAAGTATTACTTTAAATTTCATGTTCATTCCTGTGTTAGTATTTAAATTGCCTCTTCTCCATCCAGTAACATAAAATAATGGCTAAGTAACTGACCTAATTAAGTACAGCTGTCTAATGTATCTAATCTGTTTATAAAATGGTTTAAGTGTTAAAAGTAGAATGTTGAATTAGAAAGTACAAATGATATCCTGATCCTAATTGGGAGTTATTTACTTCAGAAGATTTTTTAAATGAAAATCATACATTAATTGGAATAAAATAGCCGAGAATCTGAGGGTTTTCAATTATATTTCCTAATCAGATTTTTCCCCTTCCCAACATAATTTGTTCTCTTGCTCAAGCTTAATAACCGGCTATCTTTCTAAATAGTAACGGTTAACGCTTAAAATTAAGTGAAGAAGTTGATTTGAGAAGAAGATCTAGTGTAGGCTGTGCAGAGCCAGTTTGAGGAAGGTATTTCAGAAGGTGTGGGAATGTGAATGTTGCTCTTTAAAGCAGCTATGTCATTGTTGAACATCTATCAGTAGAGAAAGGAAGATCAGCATTGCAGTGGCGTATGAATGGCACACTTCAGTCTAGAACAGGGGTCTTGAAACTTGACAGCTTTAAGGCTTGTGGACTTCAACTCCCAGAATTCCTCCTCCAGTCATGTTAGCTCAGGAATTCTGAGAGTTGAAGTCCACAAGTCTTAAACTTGCCAAGTTTGAAGAGCCTTGGTCTAGGAATTTGTGGGTCTTACTTGTCCAGTCTGGAAGTGCTTTGAGGAAAAGAGCATAGGAGGTTTTAATGAACAAGGAATGCAGGCTGATTTCTCCTTCCTTGTGCTTTGGAGATTCTTCCAGTTAATGGATAGGAAACAATGCCTTAGTTGTCATGTCTACTTTGAAATCCAGCATGAGGCCATCACGTGGATTGTTTTTATTTAATCAAAAAGTTTTCCTGGGACAGTTCAACTTTTTTTTAATCACAGATGGGGTTTGTTGCAGTTATTAAGTGAATGTGCAGTCATTAAACAAATCGGACTCATTCTTTGATGGTGGAAGCAGCTGGGAAGGTTATAGATGCTGATCATATCCTGGTACAGTGCAACAGTGCAATAAATACATAGGCATTGCCAAGTGCACACATTTTTTTAGTGTATTTCATCGAAAATAAAATACAAAACAGTAAAATGAAACCGAACAGAAACATACCTTCAACCCCAACAACAACAACAACAATGAAAAAATAGTGTGCAAAACAGATGGAAAAATTGGCCAATTAAATTTAGCATTTAACATGTAGGATCCACCCTGGCTGGGTGATGAAAGAAAAAATGGTTTCCCGGAGTTTAATCATGCGGTTATGGGGATGCTGGTGATGGTCATAAGTGTGGAAAATAAGGGGTCATAAGTGATTATTACAGATTACAAATTAACAGTTGGAAGTGCTTTGGAAAATAGCTTGACCCCCTTCTTTCTGTGGTAGCCCTTCAAATACTGGAACACTGCTATCATGTTTCCCCTGGTCCTTCTCTTCCCTAGACTAGCCATAAGTTACTTCAGTGCTGGTATACCTGTATTTTAAAGAGGTTACGTTTCCAGCTTTGGAGACCAAGCATGATGGAGAAGTTAGTGGCTGTGTTACTGGGAACATGAGCAAAAACCTGTGAATATATAATGCTATTAATTTCCAGTGCCTCTCCATAATCTATATGTTAATGCGTATTTATTTAAGCTGCAATCACATAAATCGTATGGCTAGTTTTGTCATGTATAGAGTGCTTATTTAATAATATAGATAAAATAATCATCTGATTCATAAAATGACCACCAGTTAGGAACTACCCTAATATGTGGACAGTTTAAGAATAACAACAATAATATTGATATAATAAGATATAATTGGATTGTTGGATTGTTTGTGTCCTCTGAATGAGATTATTTTCCTGCAGGCTTGTCATCATCACACAATGTAACATCAGTAAAAATTGATGAGTGAAGTTTGCTGGTGCTTTGTTAATTGTAGTTGACCCTGCCATCTTGCTGGAGCATCACTTCTTCCTTGATGGTTCCTTGGTTAGGACATTGCTTCTTTCACAATTGTTTCTCTTATTGTTGTTCCTGCCCTGGGTATTGGCTGCTGGGGAACATATGCCCTGATTAGTTGTTTCCTCCCTGGGTTTTTAAATGTTGCGTAGATAGGCTTACCTCTGTGTTTCTGTTGATGGATGATTTGTCAGAATGCCAAGCTTCCAGACATCAACTGGTCATTGGAAGATATGATGAGCATTCCTTGATCGCTCAACGCAATAAACAAATGGAACCACAGTTTCATTTCTGGAATTGTTGACATGTTAGACTGAAGCGGATTGAAAAATGCCAGCAGTAATTTGAAGCATGGAAGGATGACAGGATATCAGAGAAAATATATTAATGGACATCTTTGATTTGCAGGTTACTAGAGTGTAGAACAAAACTTATTCCAGAAACTTTTTAATTTGTTGTCAATGAAGCTTCTCAGTCACCCAGGTAGAGTTGTCTGGAAGTTGAGTCAGGGCAACTGGATTTCTTTTTCTTTGAAACAGGTACAGAATTTGATAGTTTTCTGTGGTTTCTTCCCCAAACCCCAAAAACTTTAACCTTAGATTGTCTACTATTGACCTTACCCCTTTCCTAAGAGGTCTGTAGGGGGCGTGCATAAGCGTACCAATGTACCTACCATCCCTGTCCTATTGTTTCTTTTTATTTTTCTTATATGTATCCATGTATTCATAACCATGTTTATACTTATACCTGTTATAACTGCTTGACAGAATGAATGAATGAATGAATGAATGAATGTTTTACTGCTTATCCAAGAAGCTTTTCAGTTTGAGCAAGTTGGTTGTGTGTGTGTGTGTGTGTGTGTGAGAGAGAGAGAGATATGTCCTCCAGGCAAGTTTCAATTCTTACCTAATTTGAATAGGCTCCTTGAGTAGACACAGAGCCCTTAAAGAGTTCTTGCTCCTAAATCCTTCTTTGTTCTAATCTGTTCCTAATTTTTCAGGAAAAAAATAACCCACAGACTGCTGGCAAACCTTTCTGTGAGCACAATGGCACTACACATTGTCTTCTGTCTTGTTTTAGCTGGAGAAAGTCTAATAAATACCCTCCTCAAATAGCATTAGTGGGATACTGTGTGTTTGTTATATTTAGCTGATCTCTTGGTAAAGTATTTTTTCCCCATTCTACCTAATGTGAAGATATTCCACTTGTTTAAAATGTCAGGTTTATTCTAAATAACATACTATGTATTTCTCTTCAGGGGCATGCTCTTTATCAATAATATCTCCCCGTGTTTTGGTTTTTTTTTTCCCCTTCAGAGTCAACGTTGGAAGGCTATATCGCATGGAAGGACCTATAGCACATGGAAGAAAAAGCTCAGACCAGGATACCTTTGGTTTCCAGGTTGCCAAGATATGGAACAAAGCCTGCTGGAAGTACCTTACAGCCTGTTCCAAACGGGAGGGCTCCTCACCTTTCAGGGAATGCACAGATCATTGACACAAATTTCAGCAAGCACAATGGCACCAGTCGTCTGTCTTCCTGTAGAAAGCCTAACAAATTCCCTCTGGGAGATCGGATCGGTAATGAATATAACTCCAGTCAGGATCCCAGTGAACGAGTGACCGGGTCGGGACGATGTCCTCAGTCTGAAGGATCCGTTGGTCAGGAAGAGCTTAGGACCAGTTCAAAAACCACATTTTCAAAAGCAGCGAAACAAGCCACCATGTTTGTATCGCCCGTGGAAGACTTCAGTCAGAAAGGTTTGTCTGGTGTGTCTAATTCGAAGTATGCCAAAAGTTCTTTGTTAAGCAGGATGTCCTACCCTGGATTTAATGCGCCCAAACCCCAGTTGAATGGGATTTGTGGCAGCCAGTCGATGGTAGGCTTGCAGAGGATTAGAGGGAACCATTTTGTCACTCGGAGTAGCTCAGGGGAGAGCCTGGCGAGACCCACCGACAATGTTCCACCCGCTTGTGAAAAAATGGTCCGGTCTCAAAGCTTCTCACATTCCCTTCAAAGCTCTCTCTTGCCTCGCACATCTCTTACCCGATCCCACTCGTTTAACCGAGCGGTGGATCTGACAAGGCCTTACCAGAATCAACACCTAGCCCGTAGACCATCGCAGAGGCCGACTCTCCTGTCGAGAAGTGCCCGCCAGTTAGATGTGCCCAACGGGAACGAGCCTTCGAGGTACGAGTTTCCCAGGTCATTGGCTGCTTTAGCACCTTCTCACGTCAAGAAACAGCCCCTCTTAAATGGCTCGGGGGATGCGTCCCCTGTGAGGTTCAGATCAGGCCGCCCGTCGTTGCTGAAGCCCATGAACCAACATTTGAGTAGAAAGATCCCCATGGATGGCAGCGCCAGGAAAGATCCTGCAAATAGTTTAATGGAAGACCTGATTTCCACAGAGGTTAAAAGAGGCGATGCTGATGCCATAGAAACCCAGAGCAATGATTTTGTGGAGAGTAGCTGTAAGATGTGTACGGATGGCGACGTGGATGAAATATCAATATCTTCCCTGTCCTCTTCGGAGAAAAATGACCTTAGCGAAGATTTTAGCGATGATTTTATAGATTTAGAAGATCCCAGCCGAACCGTGCTGATTCAAGATGAGAAAGTTCCTGCTGAAAAGCTGGAAGATAGAAATGGAATGCCACCACATCAGCTACTATCTTTTCAGGAAAATGAGAAGTCGAACTATAATAACGAGGAATGGCTGCATATACATGTGTCAGGTAAATATGCAGGGTATGGTTTTTCAGTACTCATTTTATGCGCTAATGGAACCCAAAAGATGTTGTTACCTCTTCTCAAATAACGTTCCACTGTTTAACTTCTTTATTCATGTTGTTAATCCTGAACATTTGGCATTTGAGAGCCCTCACGTAAATTCATTTTTCAATTAGTTATAGAGAATGTTAAAATTCAAATTATATTTAATTTAATTGTGCAACTTGGACACTTTGGAAAGCTAACATTGTCAACTTAAGGTATGCTTAATGTCTGTGAAGGTTCTTAATCATCCAGGTTATGGTTATCCCAAAGATGCTTTTTGTGAACGAGAATGGGGAAGGGCACAGTCCGGCTGGGCATTCAGAGGAAGACCCAGGGCCACCCCCTCTTCATCCTAGGGCACGCAGGGTGGAATGGATAAGGGAGCAACGTGGGTTACAGGGGGGAGAAAAAGGCCCCGATTCCCTTCATTAGATGCAGCTGGGAAAACAGGATAAAACGGGTGCTTGCACACAGAACCTTGCTGGAAGCAAAGCGTGCATTATCTTTGTCATGTCTTGTCTTATCTGGGTTCTGGCCTCCTCCCAACTGTGTATGTTTTGTTACCTTTTGAAGTCTGCAATTCCTTACCCTGCCCTATCTCGTTAATTGCTGCACCATGGTTTGTGTTGGTTTTTATATATAATTTATATGTACTTTGGGTTAGGTTTGAATTTCTTCTCTTTCAAAAACTGTTCTTGGGAGAGTTTTTTCTCCTGCCGATGATAACTGGACATTGGGGGCCAAGTTGGAGGAATTAAAGAGACTTTACCTACTTTTGTGACTTTGTTGCCTTTGTGCCATGCCCTGGGTCATCACAGTAACTAAGACAATGTTCCTTAAAAGTGTGATTGTTCACTAGGGTAGTACATTGTGGGTTCACAGCCTTTGGCTTAGCATGCAGTGGAATGGTATATGAAGGCTGAGCTAATGTGTTTTAGCTTCCTGTATGGGTCACAGAATGCAATTTGAGAGCTGCTTTGATGTGATAAAAAGTTTTCTCTAGTGTCTTAGTACCAAAAAGAAAAGTACTGAAGTGTTAAATTAAGAATCTGTATACTGCATTGTATTTAGGGTTTTTTTTCTTCTTCTTTTATTTAAGAAGTAGATGACAAGAGTGGAACTGCCAAACTTCCCACTGGGATCAATGAAATTTCTTCGGAAATGGATTACAGAGCTGGCTCCTCTTTTGAGCTTTCTCCCTCTGACAGCTCGGATGGGACCTACATGTGGGATGAAGAAGGGTTGGAGCCCATTGGGAGTGTCCATCCGTGCGGCAGTTACGATTCTTCAGAAATTAACAGCATCGTATGTATTCTTTGTTTTTACATATGAACAGCATTGTTTGTATTCTTTGTATGTACCATGTTTCACTGAAAATACGACCTACCCCAAAAGTAAGTCCTAGCTTGATTTTTTTTACATGTGCACCCAATATAAGCCCCACCCCCCAAAATAAGCCCTAATTAAGACCCCGCCCACTCCAGGGTGCACGGGTTAAAAATTAAGCTAGGGTGGAGATGTGGGTGGAGCTGCCCTACTACTTACCTTTGGACAGTTTACCCCGACACCTGCCTCGCCAGCTCATTTCTTCTGCAGCCCGCAAGGTTTTCCTGAAGGCCTCTGGAGCTGATAACAGCTCCAGATCGATCCAGTGTTCTCTTATTGGCTGCAGAGGCCTTCAGGAAAGCCTTGCCAGCTGCAGAAGAAGTTATTGAAGGCCTCTGACAGTGAAAAATACACACACAGACACAATATTATCAGTGCTGTGCAAATATCTGTATTGCATCTCACATTAACTCCATCCTTTTCTGGAGAATTCCATGGCAGATGCAGCATGTGCAAAGATCTTGCGTTTGAAGAAGGCAGGAAATGAGACTAACTGGAGAACTTAGAAATAGAGGGGAGACTGGTTAATATAACAAGCTGCCTTTATAAGCTTGGTTGATTTTTCAGTGTGGAAATAAGTGCCTGTGCTTATATTGCTTTTGCAGTTCTAACTTATGGTACTGTTCGATTGTATTAAGAACTTGTCAGTGAATTCAAATACTGTAAGTGTTTGTTTGAAATATTTTAAATAAGAGGAGTTAAAACACAGAGGCCCTGCTCTTCAAAATTCTTTGGAAGTGTTTTTGTTAGCTCAGGAGCAAAAGTGGTCAGTTTTTTTCAAAAGTCAGTTGCTTAGGATGTTGTTGTGCGGGGTGTAGTTATCCAAGCTATGGAGGATATTCAATGTTGTATAATTTTGACTTTGACCAGTGGCCTATGGAAATTGAGGGTGCACTGGAAAGATTGTAAATGCTTGATGTTAAGCAGAAAGTCCGGGACTGATGTCTTGTGGAAAGTATAGGAAGTTTGAAAACTTTAATTCTTCATTTGATGAAGACTGCTGATATCCCATGCTGGTTTCTTCAAAGCCCCACAGAAGCCTCCTCCTTATCATCCCAATATGAATTTGTGAGCTGTCCTTTTCTTTCTTTTAAAAAAAACACCTAATTTAGTTGGCTTCTATCAATAGGTAGTCCTCAACTTGCAACTACAATTTTGTTGTTAAGTGAGACAATTGTTAAATGAATTTTGCTTCATTTTACAACCTTGTTTGCCAGGGTTGTTAAACAGATCACTGCAGTAGTTAACGGGTTAAGTGAATTTAATTTTTTTTATTTTATTTTATGCAAACAATCCATCTTCCATTTAAACAGTGTGTTGTCTGGGTACAAATATCTTGTGCAATAATAATTACAGTTGATATTCATTACTATAGTATTAATACTTTATTCTTACTTTATACTACTTTTCATAATATAGCTAACAATCCCCATCTTGGCGTATTTGATTCTTATTCACATGCTTACTATTTTTCACCAGTTTTCTTTAATTTCTAGTTTCTATATTTATTCTCTATTGATAAAGTAGTTCCCATATCATATAATATTCAGTGAATCTGGTTTCCTCACTGAATTGTCAGAAGATCGCAAAAAGACGATCACTTAATCCTGGAACATTGCAACTGTCATAAATACATGCCAGTTTCCAAGTATCTGAGTTTTAATCACGTGACCATAGGAATACTGCAAAGGTCATAAGTGTGACAAACAGTCATAAGTCACTTTGTTCAGTGCTGTTTTAACATCAAATGATGAACATCAAACAGATGGTTGTAAGTTGAAGCTAACCTGCAATATCTTCCATAGTGAAATAAATGGGAAAAAATGAGTTTTTCTGTTCTCTGTTCGTCCTTTCTCTAGTGCTTCCATTTTTATTGATTTAACAGTACAGCTACCCCCCATTCTTAATTGTTTTAGATATATATTTGGGGGGAAAAAATCTGTCATTTATCCTTATAAATATATGAAACCTCCTCTGAAGCCTGGAAATCACATAGGAGGGAACATTAATATGAGGACATTAAGATTTCTTAGATTAATACTCTGAATATTTTTCATTTTAAAGCCTATATTGGGATTCTTGAAGAGTCTAGCTATAATATTTTATCTCTTGAACAGTCAAGAATTTTTATTTGGATTTCTGCAAGGTTCATCAAGATTATATTTTTTTAGAGTGGTTCATGGTTTTTAGCAGTTGTACCAATTTTGTAACCCTGTTTTTGGTCTTTGACCCCAGTACCAGTAAAGAAACACAAACACACAGGTTGAAATTGTCCACTGAAGAGATAAATTTGCTCCCTTTGAAAAAGTCAACTTTGTAAACTTCTACTAACAGCTTTGTTACCATCCACTAACTTTTCATTTTACTAAGCAGGCTTAGAAATGTAGAGTCGACTAGAATTCTTTATTGACCAAGTGTCACACAAGGAATTGTACACACAAGGAATTAGTTTTTAACATTGTATTTAAGATACAATCTTTCTCTTTTGGGAGCCGAAATATAAACACTAATGGGAATGCCCTGCATTTGAAAAGTGGTGTGCTAAGCTGTCTGAAAAAGTGTGGGTGATTTTTGGTGCAACTTCCCTCTCCTTCAGAAATTTAAATACAGCTGAGGCTGTATGATGTTGAATATTTTAAGCAATTCTTTAGAAATGTTGCAAGTAGAGGCTAGATGGCAGCACAACAGTGTGCAATAACTGGTGTAAACATTCCACGTCAGACCAGTGTCATATTTCCTGTTTATGATTATGTAATTAACTTGGCAACTGTAGTATTAATATTCACAACTGTATTTATTTGTTTGTTCCTGAAACAAATGAAGCTAACTGTATGCTTCACAGATTATGTGTGCTCGAGTTTGTGCCAAATATCCTCTTGCCTAGAATTTAGCATACTTTGCATGTCTATTTTTCTAAATTATACCCTGATTAAAATGGCCTCGTTTGTAGAATTCTGACCTTAGATACAAAATGCCATTAGTGCCATTTTGTTTCACCTAGAAAGCAATCTATGTTGTTATCCACAAGTAATACGAATATAATTTTCACATAAATAGCATAGATGCACATGTCACTTGAGAAATGCTTTTGTATGTAAATTTATGCTTTTGTAATTAAGCAGACGTCTTAACTGCTGTGTCAATGAAATGGTAGTATCTGTATCTGCCAATGCATTATGCGTACTTTGTTACATTTTACAATTTTGTTCATTCAAAGGTGTCCTGTGTGTTCACAGTATTAAAATGTAAAAACATGCTGTGGGCATGAAATAAATGCTTTCTTGTATGGAGCATCTGCCTAAAAAGTAGAGTGTTCTCTGTTTAATTTTAGTTTTCATTCTATAATGCAGATAAAGAGTATACATTTTAAAATATTCTTTAGGTGCAAATTTATATAAAGAGGCATTTAATGATCTCCAATTATTCCCCTGAAAATATTAATGCTTTGTGCATTAAATAATCAGGGGAGGGGATTAATTTTGATGTAGGAAAATTTGCAAGAGGGCAGAATGATCAACACAGGACAACAACGTGTAATTATAAAGGAGAAAAGGGAGTTGGCATAATCTTTATGGCTTATTATTCAATTAATTGTTGTATGAGTGATGAAGTAAGGGCCAGGGCATCCATTTTCTCAGGTATACAGAGATGGCTGGTTACAACAAGCCAGTTAGACAAGTCAGATAATAATAGAATTTAAAAAGAAGAAGAGAAGAAACATGGCTTCTCTTACTTTTTAATCCTCGTTTTATTGGTAAATCATGGGAATCCTAATTTCAGAAAGCAGAAATTCATCTATCTATTTGACAGTAGTAATATTCCTAGTATAAAGCATTTTTAGAGACTTTACTTTGTGAGACAGCCTGCTGCTCAAAAATGCAGTACCGGTAGTAGTTAAACTGAGTCAAAAGTCTTCAATAGTTTTTTGAGTATTTATTCTCTGTGGCTGCTCAATAAAAACTGAGCACAAATTCCAGATTTAATCATGAATTGCACCTTATAAAATATGGACCCTGAGATTTTTTTAAAATGTAGTTTCAAAAGCATGCAAGAAACATATGTATGATTAAATCCGGTTACATTTATGGGTTGGATATCTTAATTATCCATCAGCTGCAAGGCCTCAAGCAAGGCTTAAGCTGGTTTTCTGGAGGTTTTGTTTTATTTTGTTTTGTTAAAAAACATGTATTGCTCTGCTGCTTTTCCACCTAGAAACCTGTCAACATTTTTGTTTTGAAACTATTAAAGCTGTACATTTTTCTTAATGTTTGAAGATTTGCAATAAGCAACTGCAGGATTGTAGAGGTCATTCTGTGTCACACTGAGCCAAAGCAAACCTATAAAGAGAATGTGGCTGGAATCACAGTCAATGGCGATCAGCTTTATTCAGAATAAAGCAATAAATTTGTTTTTAGAAATTCACCCTGGAGTTAGCAGGGAAGAATGAAGAGAATAGATTGTTTTTATTGTAAGTGTAAGAAGCCGTAATGGAGAATATTTTAAAGTCAAGAATATTTTAATGGACTTATTTATAATTCCAAATGCTCTGAACTATTATTTATGAATTGCCTATTAAATTGGTATTTTTACAATAGATTAACAAAGTAGTAGAAAAAGAGGAAAATAAAAAAAACCAATTTTAATGCAAAAAGGTGATGATCTAATCGCTTTAAAGAATATCAAGAACACAGATATCTCATTTGATTTTTTTAATGAGACAGATTTTTTCCCCTTATATCTGAGGATGTATATCTGTAGCAATGGAAATCCTGCAGTAAATGTAGAATAAATGCTGGAGTTATGGAGTTATGAACTCCATAAATTGAGTTATGGCTAGATAGGCACAGCATCCCTCTGTGGCATCCTTGGTGCTCTCTGAGCTTGTTTCCTTGCAGACATTTCATTACCTGAACTAGGTAACATCATCAGTGCTAGAAGGAAGAAGCATTGGCCCTCAACCTTCTAGCATTGATGATGTCACCCAGTTGGGTAAGGAAATGTCTACAAGAGAACAACCAAGCTTAGAGAGCATCCTCATTTCAACCCCGCAGTACCAATTTATTTATATCTCTGTGCTTAAACAGAAACACATTTCAAAAGTATGGGCCCCAAAACCATGAAGAAATAGACTGAAAGCTTGCCAAAGCTTGGTTAGAGGAGTGATTTCCAGAACTCTAGTTTAGCAAAAGTCATTGTGCTTTTTTTTTTTTTTTTTTTGGCTTCCTAGAGTCAATAAGAGGATGAAAGGCTGAGGCTCATAGTAGGGTTTGTTTTTCACCATGGCAACTGACCTCCCTGTCCATGTGATTGTTTGGTTGGCCCCAGGCAGACTAGCAATGTGGTAGCAGTGTCAGTGGTTGCACCTCTGTGATTGGATACAGGCCGGGAGGTCTCCTTGAATCCCCCCAGGGGTTGCTATGGCAACTGCAGTAATAAGCCTAAACCCAACCTCTGCCTCTTGTCCCTGCCTGGTCTCCCTTCATTGGGAAGTAGTTTATTTTAATCATCTTTGTTTTCTTTCCTAAAGGTATGGCACCTGCGTCCCCCTTCAGCTGTGACGTAATGTAGAAGAGCAGTTCTCTGTGTATGGAAAGGTTAAAAATCCAGCGCTATTTGATGGATTTTTGTAAACTTAAATATGTTGACTAAGTCCTTTTTGTAAAAGAAATACTGCCGTTTTGACGGTCAACCTTTTAAAAATCAAATTACACAATGTTTGTAAATTAGTGGGCGAGATACAACTATCTGCTGCTTCCTCACCCATTTAGTACAAAGAGCTTGGAATCTACAATCCGTTAGAATGAAAGGAATAGGAGTATTAATTCAGTTTACCCTTTCCTCTTAAGGGAAGAGTGAAATATCAATTGCGGTACTGTAAAATATTAGTGGGACTTTAGTAGTATTCCATTTCTACATACTTATTACATACTTTCTTATTAACAAATTGTAATCTGTAAAGTTAATAACAGCATTCAGAGAAAGACGTATCACCTGGGAAACCTCAAACGTTTTAATAACTTAATAAAAGTTTTCATAAATGCCTTTTGTCCCAGTACTTGGGTCTAGGCTTACAGACATAATTCTATCCATATGATTGGAATATTTCTTCAAGGCCAATAGTCAAATATATGCAAATCAAATGAATTGCCTTCCAAATCCTTGGTTTTGTACCTGGAAAATACGACACATCTAACCAGAAATTATGGCTCCCTTATGCTGCTTTATCTGTTTTTATGTCCTTTATTTGGCTTTCATAGCCCCTCCCCTATTTTAGTCCAATAATATTAAGAACTTTCATAGAGATGCTTGATTAATTGTGTGTCCTCAAGTTGCTTTCAACTCTTAGCAAACACCTAGGTAGATTTTTCTCCATGAAGATCCATCCCTTATTATTGTGTTCTTTCAAGTCTCCCACTGGTGTCCCCATTGCCACCCTACTTGAGTCCCTCCTTGTTGCTGGTCATCCTCTTCCACACTTTCCTAGACATATTTTAGTATTTGAATATAATTGTATCATGTTAGTCATTGTAGCTTTAAATTATGTTTTATCGTTTACAAGTTTCAATAAGTTAGTACTGAAATGGGTGTAATTTTTTCTCATTGTATCTTACGCTGGTCTATGGCTGAAATAAAGATCTGTTTTAGCCTGAATACTTAGCACATATTTTAAGAGGCCCGGGGTTAATTATAATTTTTTTCACTTCAATATTAGCTGTCCTGGATAGTTGGAAGCTGCTCCAATCGTTGACCATGATAAAGTTCTCTTCTATAGTTGCAGAAACTGCAATAAAGAGTTTCTTTCAAACTACATGTATGTTAGTTGGACTTAAAGAAACGTAGTCCCGTGGGCTCGGCTTGAAGTCATTTCTTGTGCCTTGCAGGATATCTTGAACAACCTTGAGTCGTGTGATCTTGAAGATGATGATCTTATGCTTGATGTCGATTTACCCGAAGACACACCCTGTGATAATGGTTAGTGAAAGGATCCTTCTGAAGTGTCTGGAATCTGCATTACTGTTGCTACTTGGACCCCACCTTTGATCTCTATTAAGCCAAGAGAACCAACAACTTATAGAGTGAAATCTGGAGGACACCAAAGCTGTGCATATATAGTGAGGCATTTATCTCAGGGTACAGCAGGGGTGTTCAACATTGGCAACTTTTAAGATTTGTTACGTCTATGGAGATTCTCAGTCATCTAGGTCAGGGGTCGCCAAACTTTTGGACCTCAGGACCACCAAACTCATAATTTTAAATCCTGCTGACCAGAGACCCTGAGAAAATCCCCCAAACAGTCTACAGGAAAATTCCCCACCCTGTTTTCCTAACGATTGATCATTATTTGGGATCACAGGATACCGTCTCCAGCTCCATTCTCGGGGAGAGAGAGAGAGAGAGAGAGAGAGAGACTTTTGGCTTCATGCAAGGAAAGCAGCAGAAGTCTTTCTTTCTCTCCCCCAAACTCTGACCGGTGGCCAGGTGAGGCGAGTGAGGCAAGTTGCCCCCTCCGCCTTTTCCTCCCTCCCCTCATTACCTCGTGTTGTTCGCAATGCAAGGGACGCAAGCCTTGTGTTCCGGTGGGCCATGTGGCGGTGCAGCCTTTTGTTCCCACACAGCCTGGATTAATTGCTTTGGGGGTGACATTTCCCTGCGGACCACCAAAATTTTCTCGCGGACCACCAGTGGTCCCTGGCCTAGGTGATGGTTGTCCCAAAGGTGCTTTTTCAAGAGGCTACTGGACTTTCTGGTTTTTCTTTGAAGACGTTTTGCTTCTCTTCTGAAGAAGCTTCTTGGATGAGAAGTGAAACGTTTTCAAAGCAAAACCAGAAAGTCCGCTTGCCTCTTGAAAAAGCACCTTTGGGATAAGATTTGTGGACTTCAACTCCCAGAATTCCCAAAGATGGCTGAGGAATTCTGGAAGGTGAAGTCTACAAGTCTTAAACTTGCCAAAGTTGGACACCTCTGCCCGTACAACTTCGTTTTATGCTCAAGTAAGGCCATTAAAATTATCCCCACCCGTTTAATTTTTCTAAAGTTTCTGAACAGAGCAGTGCTTTTGAAACTCTGTTTGTACAGAAGCCCATTCAGAGGTTTCTCCGCTTCCATTTCTGTCCCATTTTAGAGCCATCATTTTCAGCTAGTCTTTTTTTAAACGAGTTCTCACTGATACTTTTGTTATAACAGGGTTAAAATTACAGTGTATCCTTTTGTTTAAACAACAAAAGTACCATACCAAAATCAACTAGCCAGATAAGTACACAGAAAACCTCTCTGAAGTCTGGAAATTAAGGAACCAAAGCTGTTATGTTTAGATCCAGAGCAGACTGATTAGAATTCCAGTGGAAGGTTAGGAAAAAGCCGAAGAGAGCCAGAGTTTGACAGTAGGTGTAGGCCGAGTTTCTTTTTTACTGCAGACATTTAAGTCTTGCTTTAATGTGGGTTCAGAAAACAGGACTTGGATTCAGTGGCCGCTTTCACCTCCCAAGATTGTGTGATTCATGAATTCAGCAGTTAACTACATCTTGCCCAAAGGCTGATTGACCCCATCAAGTGCTAAAGTAATTCATAGGTTTATAATTTTCTGCCTCCCTTTTGGAGTCTGTGATGGAACTTGCCCTCTATTTATAGCAATTGTTTTGTGGCAAGAAGTATGCAACTTGGAGGATGGGAGTTGTAAGTCACAGGGTCAAACTGGGCTGCTTTCCCAACTCTACGCAAGCAGATCAGGAAGCAAGGCCTATTTGTCCCTGTCTTCTGCAAAACTATGAGTAGGCAGCCGAGCAACAGCTAGGAAAAGGGCCACGCAGCCGAGGCTTAGCCATGAGAAGAAGAACAGTTTTAGGTAAGTGGAAAGCTGAGCGGGTTTCTTTCAAACTTTTCTTCCCCAGCTGCACTTCTTGGTGCCTTGGTTTGGCTTTTAAGCTCTCCAAACAATTGCCTCATCCAGTTGTCAGAAACCAGTCTGTTGTTTTGGGAGGCACTGATGGATGTGCGTGTGTGTTTTTAGAAGTTTCATGTTGCATGGTAAAATGAGCGTTCTAAAACTTTTCCTAAATTAATAAAGCTCTCCAAAAATCATGTTTCATCATTGATTATATAAGTGCAGGGGAAAATCCTTGTGAAGAATAAGGGCTGTTTTGTCTGCTTTAAGTTGCATTTGGGGAGATAGCAAAGGAACAGCTTGGTTCTTTATTCCTCATGCAGCTTAAAGAAAGAATTTAAGTTATTGAACTGCAGTTTTACTATACTGGAAGCCAGTTAGTTTCAGCATAACTAGAATCGTATTTCTGTTGTTTGATGTGTTATGGAGAAGAAAACTGGAGTTTTACATTTATATCTTGCCTCTGATCATCACAATATTGTGAACTAAAATTACCTTTTCTGTGCCCATTCTATACCTAATTTATGTGCAATTCCCTGACTTCGTTATGGCCAACTGTGAGTTAATTAAGAGTGCCAGCCGATACCTGTTTTGGTTTTAGTGTTGATACTAGTTCTACGTAAATCAATGCTGCTTTATTTTCTTCTGTTGGTACAGAGGAATGTGACAATATGAACCGTTATGAGCGCCCGGACAGAAATATTCGACAGCAGAAAGCAGAGGGACTCTGGAAGAGAACACCCCAGAGGTGGAATACTCAGGATCATTATCATCTTAGTCCCACTGAGCACTACTCCCACATCAGAAATGATCTGAACAGGTATGATACTCTGAGGAGGAAAAGGTTGAAAGTTGGGGTTTGGGATTACTTCAGGAGCCATTAAGCATTAGAGGGTTTTTCCCCCCAGAGTTAAAAATCAACATTTGGACACGGTGATTCTTAGAAAGAAAAGACAGCAGTCCAGAGAATTCTAAAATGTCCCTAACACAGACAAAAACAACACTCTACCTTGAGTTTGAAATGGCTGTTTTCTATTTCTGATGGGCTACTTTAATCTTTCTGAAATTATTTCAAACTTGGGGCAAAAGAGTTGAAACGAGGCTGTTTCTAGTTGGAGGTGAAACGTTCACCTTCCCATTTGATATATACCTTCAAAAGCCTAAACAAAAATGAACCTCTTTCTGCGGGAGTTGAGTCATGGGTATAATTTATCAAAGATTGCTAATATTTTAAGATTGCACTTTGTGTGAAGATAACTGAATGACCTACGAGGCAAGAGCAAGAGTAACCATATTAAAAGCAAAGCAATAAAATGTGAATAGGACAGAACAAATGTGACAGAATAAATAAAAAATGTACATGTACTTTTCAGTACCTGGGAAAATAGAGCTTGATCTGAGGGTGAAATACCAGTGACACCAGTGAAAGTTAAACTCTTGAGGGAAACCCTTGAAAGTTGGAAAGTCACCATAGAAGAGATTCTCTCCACTACCCCAGCCAGACAGATTTTCTGGCACGGATTCAGAGCAGAGGACATCTATCTGATCTTGGGCAGCTAGAGAGAATACTGCATTGCTCTTAAATTCAATACAGAAGTTCACTTCTCCTGTGGAGACTTAATAAACGAAGGGTCTTTACTAACATCCTCCAAACTCTGTTTCAGGGGTGGCAACTATGTCGATACTCCCCCTGTCAGTCATCTCGAAGGCTATGGGGCATCAGGCTTTTATCCACCACTGAGGAGCTTGCCAGCAAATACTGTTTTATTGGACGAAATGACCCTTCGGCATATGGTCCAAGAATGCACAGCGGTGAAAACCCAGCTCTTAAAAATGAAAAGAATACTCCATCAGGTTAGTGAGGAGAAAAGTAGCACGTCCTTACCTTTTCTATTATGAAACTAAATATCTAATATTTAAAGTTGCTTGAAGTTGGCTGCTGAAATAGTAGTAAACCCTATGTTCTGGATTGGAGCATCTTGAATTGGAAATCTCTTGTTTTGGGTGTCAAAGGCACCATCATGAGCAATATTATAGCTGTTTTCAGCAAGTTTTGGAAGTGTACCACGTGCACAAGCACTATTGTGTATAGTACAAAATATTCTATGGCAGGCTTAATCCCTGTGCCCCGAAGAGTCTAACTTGCATTTCAGGTTTGGAAATGTTTTGAACATCCCTACCTTCTAGTAGTAGCAGTAATAATAGTAAATATTTCCATTCCTGCAGGATGGAGGGTTGAGAGAAATAGAATAGAATAGAATAGAATAGAATAGAATAGAATAGAATAGAATAGAATAGAATAGAATAGAATAGAATACTTTATTGGCCAAGTGAGATTGGACACACAAGGAATTTGTCTTGGTGTAAATGCTCCCAGTGTACATAAAAGAAAAGATACATTCGTTAAGAATCAAGAATCATAACGTACAACACTTAATGATAGTCATAGGGTACAATCAGCAATCAAATCATACTAGGAAACAATCAATAGAAATAGAAAGGCCATCATGTCTGAGGAATGTCTTTTCCCAAACTCTGGGAATTTGGGTTTTCAGGTTCACGGGTGTTGCAGTGAATGGGGGCAACCAGGGCATCACTTGAAATAGCAATAGCATTTTTAATTCATTAAAATTCAAAATCTTAATTCTGTTCTGCTTGAGATTCAGCTGGCTGGGGAATTTGGGAAGTTGAAGTCCACATGTGTTACAGCTGCCAAGGTTGAAGAGCCCTGATCTAAAACAAGGCAGTTTGACTGAACTCTCTTTGAAAAGTAGCTGTGGCAGGGTTCCTCACAGTCACAAATGCTTTTGGCCTGGGAAAAGAGGATTAAAGTATCACAGCAATATAAATCTGTTGGGTTCCTCCAGAGCTAATGTTGCCGCTTGCTGATTATGCTAATTGGAGTTGGAACATCAACTTATTAAATCATTCATGGCTCCCATTGTAGCCCCAGCCAGGGAGAGGAATGTGGCCTGTTAAAAACAGGTTGTGATGTCAACAATGATGCAGTCTGTCTGAATACCAAAGGTCAGCCTTTGTGCTTCCACATGCAGCTCCGTAGCCCACATTGCGGAAGACTGCTTCTTCCAGTTACTGTAGAAAATACATGAAGAATTCAATGTAGACCCAATAGAGGCAAAATAAAATCAGTAAAATGGGTTGCTGTGTAAATAACACAGTTGTTTAAACTTTTAAAAACACAATAGTCTCCTTTTGAAAACTGTTTTTCGTACAGATTGAGAAGCTGATTTTTTTCTTGTGAAAATTTAAAAGAATAAAGATCAGGGGGCAAAGGTTTTCTACACATTGGCTTATTGGTCTAAGATCTTAACATCTTCTCAAGGCCAAGAGCCTTTTAGTAGGCAGTGACTGCTTTTTTTTAGTATCAGGGCTGCCTTTTGTAGACACCAAGATAAAGACCTTGTTCCAGACCCGGCCTGGCTTTTCCCTCTCTGGGAGAACGCTGAGATTTCCTCTTTCTTTTTGGTTCTATTTTAGGATGTGTCTGTGTTGTTCTCCAGTCACTAAAAGTCATATCCAAATGCTCGCGATCCTATGGATCAGGCCACCCCAGGGATGGGATGCTACCGGTTCTGCCCGGCTCTGAAGAACAGCAGACACAGAACCAGTTCTGTGTCTGCTGCTGTTTGGCCCACTTGCCCGCCCGGGCTTTTATCTGTCCTTTATTTCCTGCTTTTTCAACCTTAGATGCTTTGCGCGGCACAGATGAGGTTGAAAAAGCAGTAAAAAAAGTGGCTTTTTGAATGCTGCGCACCTGTACGCAACGCTTTTCAGCTGTCCAGGCGGCACGGCCTAAGGTTTTTTTTACACACGTGCGTAGCAGTCACCAAACTGGTAGTAACACTGGTTGAATCCCACCCCTGGGCCACCTCCATCCTCCCCTCCTGGACTCTGCCCAAACTCAAATTCTCTGCTACTGACTTAATCATGTCATCTTCTGCCGTCCCCTTCACCTTTTGCCTCATCTCTGTACGTGTTGCTTAAAAATGGGCAGAAACAAATCTCCCCCCCGCACCATTTCCAACCATTATGTTGCTAAAAATCATGGGTGTGTCTGTGTGTGTGTGTGTGCATGAGCCCCACCAAAACAGATGAGGAACCTCAACTTAAGCCCTCCTGGATCTAAACACACCCCAGATGGCCTTGTGTTTTGTTTCATTTTATCATCTTATTTTATTTATTATTTTAATTTAATTTAATTTTTATTTATTATTTATTTGCAACACCACTTTTACTTATTTCTCTGCCTTTGATTCCTTCATAAAAGTATTCAGCCAGAAACTATACAGATGTATGCCCTACCCTGCCTCACCCATGCGAGAGTTCAAGCTCCTCCCAGTATTTTAGACTGAAAACAGAGCATAGTTTTTTCCAAGCTTTTCATAGACAACCCGACAGGCTTCAGGAAAGAAAAGGAAGGAGGTTTGTTTTCTCAGTCATTAGGACAATGGAAGGAGCAGATGCCTGAGAGGGCAGGACTAAGGTTAATTTTCTTCACGGCTGTGTCTCGGCTCGGCTCTTCTCAAGAAGAAGAAGAGAGACCTTAGTGGGCTCCAGCTTTTGGAGCTGAAGGTCCCTCAGAAAGGAGAGAAAAGCCAAGGAAGATTAAACAGGAGAGCTGTGCAAGGAGGCTGTGGGCTTATAGAAAATACCCAGCAGAGGTAGTCAGAAGGATCCAGCCAGCTAATTGAGAAATTCGGAACAGAATAGTTTCAGAAACCTCAAAAGGAGCATATTCCCCCCAGAGGCCAGGTTGGAGAGGCCTATTTGTTGCAGAAGCACAGTAGGAAAGTGAGCCCCGGAGCAGGTAACCAAGACAAGGCTTTAAGCACTTGGCAAGCATCAAAAACAAACAGTTCTTTATATACTTAAAAAGAGGCACAGGCCTTTGTGCCGTTGAAGATAGGTTTAGAGCAGCCGCCAAGAAAAGGCAGACGAAAAATGAGTAATTATTAGAAGAGTCTTAGCTTGCTCCTAATCTTGCTTAACTTGCTCCCAGTCTTAACCCAGTCTTGGATTTGGCTAGTCTGAAGAAAAGAAGAATTAGGCAGGACAACGATAGCAGTTTTTCAGTATTTGAGGGGCCGCTACAAAGAAGAGGGGGATCAAATTATTCTCCAAAGAAACAGAGGGCAGGACAAGAAATCATGGTTGGAAACTGATCAAAGAGAGAAGCAACCCAGAATTAAGGAGCAACTTCCTAACAGTGAGGACAATTAACCAGTGGAACAGAAGTTGTGGATGCTCCATCACTAGAGGCTCCTTTTAAGAAGACACTGGACAGTCACTTGTCTGAGATGGTATAAATTCTCCTGCTTGAGCAGGGGGCTGGACTAGATGACCTCCAAAGTCTTTTCAGGTCTGTTGTATTAGCCCATCTAGCAAAAGCCAAAGTGTAACTTTTGAAGGCCCAGGAGAAGGATTTCATGCTGGCTTGTAGTTGTAAAAGGCTCAAGAGAAGCAACGCATCTGGCAATAATGAAGAGCTTAATCAGCCAACCAGAAATGACCCCCAGTGATGGCAGCAAGCCATAGGGGTTGTGAGGATGGACTTCCCTCCAGGCTGCCCCTGAATTGACAAGGTATTGGAATAGGTTGCTTTATTTCATTGCTTTGGTCAGCAGAGGAGGGGAGAGAAAATGTAATTCTTGCAAAGATATCAAAAAGGCCATTACAGCAACTCTGGGCAGTTGTGTTAAAATGGTTGGTTCCTTTTGGTTTTGTTTTTTGTTGGGTGGCTTGTGGTTTGGATTTACTGTAGGATCTGTCCCTCATGGAAGAATTTGTGAAAAGAAGGCAGCCAATAAAGATTTCTCTGATTTTAGTTGAAAAAAAAAATGAAATTCCTGAGGCATTCTTCATGCAAATATCCCCTTACTGTCCTTCCTTTTGTTTATAGTAGGTTGTTCAACTAGGGTTTAAATTTTTTAAGCCTTAATTTCGCAAGTCTGGATATTTTTGTAAGATTTAAGTGCTCAAAACCATAACAAAATGTTGCTCTTTTGCAGAATGATGAAAACATGTCACTACACAACATCACATTCACAGTGCCATCAAGTCCAGAAGAGCCAGAACCCGAACCGCTATTTAAGGTAAAATGACTGTTGACAATTTTGGAGATGAGACCTTAGAATGGATATTGAAGAGGTTTGATTCTGCTAGGAAGATCACACCAGACAGACCACAGATATAGAGAATCTGATATCTGTTCTAAAGTGTTTATACGTCTTACTTAAATAATTCTAAGCTGTATGTTTTTCTCATTACAGAATTATTTTTTTTTCAGGGTTGGGATGCTTGTACTACCATCTTAAATCTCCAAAATAGATTAGGTGCTTAAATAAAACTATTTTAAAAGGAGCCATGTAGAGATGCAGAATTTAAGGGAATAATGTAGAATAGGAACAGACTAATTAAAATAAATGGGCATACAAAATTATTTAAAAACCAGATAATATATAACAGAACAGACCGCACTAATTAATACTTTTAAACATGTGAAAGAGGGAGAAATCAAAATACCAGAAGGCCTTTAAAAGTTAGATTACAGCATGAATATAAAAAAACATCACAAACAAGTAATTTAATAGACTTGAGTGGGGAAAATGTCAAATTATTTAATTAATAATAAAACTGTAAACTCTCTAAATGGAGATTGTATGTAGGCAATCCCTAACTTATGTAACATTCAGTTTTGGAAAGTATTGTATAATCCAGTTTTTCAGAATAAATTGAATTATGCTTCCTACATTTTTGGATGTGCTATGTAAATGATCATATTTAATGGGTAGCTATAGATGTGGCCTCCACAAAAATGGCATAACTTAATTTTTATGTAAGTCTTGTAGTATATGGACTACCTGAAAGATGGTAGCATTTGTAGAATGTTCACTACACATAGCAGTTATTTTGTGAATGGCAAGCATCAGAAAATGTATTCACTGATTGTGAATTGCTGAGGTCTCCCAGCGAGATGGATGGCAAACAAATTTAATAAATAAGAGAACTATGAGGGTATAGATGCCGATAATGTCTGCAATTTGTATTATTCTTTGGTCATGTGAAATCAATTATTCAGTCCTGGTTTCAAAGCCATACTTTTTCCTTCCGCAGAAGATAATTAGACATTATAATGTTTCTCAAAACCCATTAATACCTTAATTTATGGGTTGTTTTTTTTAATGCCAGACTGACGAATTACTGAGCGAGATCACACGGCTGAAAGACGATTTGAAAAAGAAAGACGAGACCATCCAAGAACTTGAACGTCGTCTTGTAAGTAATCATGCCGCGCATGAAAATAAATGTGATCATAATAATGGCAGAAAATGGGTGTGCACCTGAGCTGCACAAAGATTTTAGAAAAGAGGCACTTGCATTTTCTCACGGGAAGGTTGGTGCTGTGGCGGTTTTGGTCCACTCTTAGTGGATCTGTTTAATTTGAATTTGTATCTGCACTGCCTTTGGACTGAAGCTGGCTTTGGATCCCCCTGTGAGGTAGCCTCAATGTGGCTGTTCTTGGTCTTCACTGGGCTGTCTCTCTTCTCTCTGCATGAAGGCTGTTGGGTGTGGCTGTCACAAAGGCAGCAAGATGCCTGAAGCAACCACGTGCAGCTTTGCTGACAAATTCACCCAGACGACCTGGAGAAGAAATGCGGTGAGTCATTTACTGGAAAATATGCTCCTTGCATAGAGGTGCTTCCTTACGTTTGATATCTTGTCTTGGTGTTTTACTTGCAGTTGTATTATTGGGTATCATACTTCAATATACATGTAAGAGTGGTGCGATGGTCTGGAGGTGGAGCTCTTGCCTCACAATCAGGAGGCTGTGAGTTTGATCCAAGGTAGAGACAGATATTTTTTTTCTCTGGGCACAATGAGAATATATCTGCTCAACGAAACTCCTCATTGGGGACAGAAAGGGCATCCGGCCAGTAAACACTCTGCCAGCTCCATTCACTTGCCCAGACTCCGGGATTATGGGGTCGTTAAAAGAAGATGATGATACTTCAATATGCAAGTAGTCTTTGACTTAAAACCATTCATTTAGTGATTATTCAAACTTGCAACAACACTGAAAAAATTTGACTTAAGGCCGACCAGTTGGTCCCCACACTTGTGGCCATTGTAGCATTCCCACCTGGGGCACATGGCAACCGGCCTGTATTTATGACGGTTGTAGCGTCCCTGGATCATATGAGCTGGTTTCTAATAAAGTTTTATTTGGGTTTTCACACATACAAAATACAAGTAAAACATCTTTTTTGAAAATAGCATGGTCCCGGGTTGAACTTCTTTATACAGACACAAAACTCAATTTCATGCTCCTTTTTGCATTCTATTCCATATCTTATACTATTTTACATTTTCTATATAGTTTTTCCCCTCTTTTAATTTTCTCAATTTTATTTTGATTATCTCATCTCAATTCAAATCATTATATTTATACTTTTGTCTGTTCTGTTTCAATTTCATATTATCTTTTCTCATTAAACAAATTTTCTCCTGTAGTTACTAATATAACACCTTTATATCTTTTAATTACATCCATTCAACTCTTATTTAAACTTCAATATATACCTTAAGTTTATGACCTTCAATATAATACATAACTTCCAATCGAATTCTGCTTGGTGTCATTCTTATAATACACACTATATTCTTTTTTAAAAAAAGATTGTAAATATATGTAATTATAAACCCTCATTCCATTCCAGTTCAGTTCTATCATTAATAATCATTAAAATCTTAACATCTTTTACACTTCTGTTCAATTAAATATCATACTTTCTTAAAAACACATATAATCTCCATAATTAATTTTTTCCTTATTTCTCTTCACATATGTTTTATAAATCATTAAATATACCTTTTGTTACATTTATTTATTGCCAAGCATTCCACTGAATTACGATAGCTATTTTATCAGACATTTTAATCATACATTGTTTCATATTTTCTGAAATTATTTCTGCTTCTAATACAACCATACTATCTTATGTACCTTTGCAGAATCCCTTTTTCCATTAAGTTTTCACCCATTATCTCTAAATAGGCCCTGTTTCTCTATATTTTGCTTCTGTCCTTTATAACTTCTTTTCCTTTCTTTCTTCCCTCTCATCTTCTCCCTCCCCTTTTTTACCCCCTTGTCTCTCTAGTTCTAATTCTCTCTTCTGCATTTCCCTCTTCTGTTGCTTTCTGATTTTATACTTATTTTTCACTCTAATTTTTTTTTGGAGTTTTTTCCCCCAATCTTAAACTTTCCATTCTCTTCCCCCCCTTTCCTTCCCCCCCCATCTAAGATTACTTGTTCATTAAAGATGGCTTCTTCTTTGTCGCAATCTTCTTGTTCTGCAAGCATTTCTTGTTTCTCATAATTCCAAATCTCCATTTCTAAAAACTGAAATACGAAGCCAAAAGAACCTCTCCCTTCTTGTGCATCTTCTTCATACTTTTTAAGTTCTATTTTCAGTTCTTCTAAAAGTAGAGCCATTTTAAACAGTTTTAAACATTATTTTCAGCATTAAATGCCTGTTGATGTCAAAGTGGATTTTTTTTCCAATTTCTTGCTTAAGTCTCTTAGCTTTCAGTACAGGAAAAGGAGAAAACCAAATCTTTTCCCTTTTCTCTCTCCTTCGCAGCTTAAAAATCTTCTTAGGGAACAATGTTATTGTTTTTTAACAGTTTCAATTCCAGGGTACCTTATTTGTTGCTTTTGCTGTTTGACCTGGTCAACCAAAACTTTCTCTTCTTCCTCCTGCACATTCTTTTCCGGTCGAGTTCTTCTTTGTGGTGGCCATTTCTGACCACCGCTGCAACCGCCTTCGGGAAAGGGAGTAATGGCCAGCTGGGGAGGAGAGGTGCGGCTCTCCTCAACCCTGCTGGCAGTCTCCCCCTTCTTCACCACCTCTACGGGGTGACTTAGCCCCGAAACCAGCCAGCTCGGGGCACTCCAGCAGCGAGCACGGATTGAAGCCTCGCAGAGACGAGGTTTCGATCTGTCACTGAAGAAGCTCAAACCGGAAGTTCCATATGAGCTGGTTTCTGAGGTCACATGTGGTGTCACAGTCAGTGAGGGAAGCCAGATTTGCTTAACAATTGTCCATGATGCCTAACAATCCCAGGGATTTGCTTGGCAAAAACCCTGTAAAGTTGGATGTGATTCAATTAAGGACTGCCTTGCTGAGAAATGGACATTTTGATTCCAATTGTGGGCGTAAGTCCATCATTGCTCTGTTGTGTATACTTTTTAGTGACATTTTCACTATCACTTCTTTTTTTATAATCTTTGTTTACAGAAAACATTTTATAGTCTTTTAAGGTTTAGAATTCTGGGCTTCCCTCATTCATCCTATTTTAGGTACTCGTTCAAAAAGCGGGTATTGTATTTCCTAGATTCATTAATACTGGATTTTATGCATTAGTCTACGTCAAGGCTCTTCAAACTTGACAGCTTTAAGACCAGAATTCAATGCCCAGAATTCCTGAGCTAACATGACTGGAGGAGGAATTATGGGAGTTGAAGTCCACAAGTCTTAAAAGCTGTCAAGTTTGAAGGCCCCTGGTCTACATGGCAAATACTGAAAAAATTTGGATTGATCTCTGAAAAAATTAGGGGTAATTCTGAATATACCTCATACCCCAGTCAGATTCAACACACTTTTTTCTAAATTAATGGGAAAAGTTTACTAACCAATACATTTCCTTGATAATTTTTTTTACCTTGACTATTTAGAAATCACTACTTCTAGTTTTCTTTGTGGTTCTGGAATTTAAAAAATACTACTGTATATTATAGTATAAAACCCTACTCCAGTTTTATTTTTTAGTAACTGTACTTTCATGTAAGATATAAACAACCCATAAAGTACATAAAGAGATAATTTACTGAAGATTTAAATGAGATGGATATTGCATAAAATGCCAGGACAACAAATGTCAGTATAATAAGTCAAACACAACTATGGAACATGTTTGGAAAGTCATGCTATTTTTTTTTTAATTAAAAAAGGTGATACGTTGAAAGTTAAAAATTTTACAAATGAATATACTAAATCTTTTTGTGATCACCTTGTGCATTTCTTTTTGTTGTTGCTTTTGGGAATTAGAAAGGAATGAGCACATTTTTTTTCTTTAAGATTTTTGGAGGGATTGTAACAGTTGGTTTATATCTACAGAATCCCCAAAACATAGTTCAACCCTAAAACTTTTAAGAAAAAAGAATTAACCTTTCAGATGAAGTTGAAAAGCCATCAGGTTTTTTTCCCCTCGGGCTCATAGCTTTTAATCATCCTTGCATTTGTGCATTCTTCTATTTTTGCCCAAAAATAACTAAACGGGGCAGCAAGATATTGTAATCTATTTTTCTCCAAATAGATAAAATAAAAACATGAAAATGTATATAGCCTGATCATTTCACTTCATTTATTTTTTAAATTATATTTATGTAATGACATATGCCAATAACTACACCTGGAGATTTACACAAAAGGTAAATCTAAAGTATGCTTCTGAGTATTGTTTTAAAGATATTAAACACCTATATCTAATTCCTGAAATAGGAGTAAATATGTGTATTTCATTTCTTTAAAACAATATGCTCAGAATTTCCAAATACAACCAAAGCTGTAGTTGCACCTGATAGATAAATCTGGAGAGATTTAATTAATCCTATTCCAATTTGTAAGCTTATTAAATTCAGGCTGGATGGCATAATGTTAGTTGGATGCCTAGAAGCTTGACAAACATTTTCAACATGTTTTCATAAATTATCCTTCATATCGAAGGAAATATTGAGTGAGATGATACCAAGAGTGGTTGGAGGCTGCTATTACTGTATTAAATGAGGACATGAAGGAAATAGAGACTTAACAAATTCGCAGATGGCAACAAGAAACAAAATTAAATGATTTTGAAAAGTTAGGGAAGAGACTGAAAATAACAAATTTAATCAGACAAATTTCAAGTTACTCTTTTTAAGAAAGAAAAACCAAATTCATTAATAGAGGATTCAGGAGAGATGAAGAAAGGATTCTAAGAACTGTGATGATTATGAACTGAATGGGTCAGGAGTCTGACCTTTGGGGTGTTATTAAATTATACTTTCTAAAGTAGGAAGAAATACAATAAAGTAGGAAGAAGTACAAGTCAAACTTCTTAAATTCTGTGTCCAGTTCCAGACACTTCACTGGAAGAAGAGTTACTTTAAATAAACATGAGGGGATGCACAAAAGATCATCCCAGAGAGTCAGCTCCAGGAAAGTAAGTCTTACAAGGAGAGATTGATGGAGGTGGAGGTTAGCCTTGTGAAGGCAGTTAAGATCCAACCCCAACAGAGATGTTGTTCAGTAGAGGATCAGGAACAGTCTACAGTGGTGTGTGCAAACATATTTCAGCTGAAGGCCACAGAAACTTTCCTGACAGTAAAAGCAATTTAGTAATGGAAAGACTGAGATAGAGAGTAGATAACTCTGGATGCGTTCAAGCAGAAAGGAATAACTGCTTCTGAATCTCTCTTAGAAGCAGTTTTAGGTAAAGGTTCCCCTTGCACATACGTGCTAGTCGTTTCCAGCTCTAGGGGGCGGTGCTCATCTCCGTTAACAAAGCCAAAGAGCCAGCGCTGTCTAAAGACGTCTCCATGGTCATGTGGTTGGCATG